ATGGACCGCTCTCGAAATTTCAAAAAGCTCAAGGACCCTTTCTGTTAAGACACGCGCACTACTGTGCGCTAACTATTCATAACTCGGTAAAAAAAGGAGGAGGTTCTCAATTCGACTATTTTTATGTATACATGTATGGTCCTACGACAGACCCCTGCGGAACCCCACACACGACTTTGTGTAGAGCAAGTTAAACGGACGACTTGAGAAAGATGGCCGGCAGATTTGGCGTGCTCAAGGTAGTAGAGCTCCTTGTAAAAGGGTTCGTCCAGGAAAGTACTGCCACCTGAGCGATTTCTGCCGCCAAGCAGTAATGTGAACATTACGGCGTTTGGATTCCGAAGGGTGCTGGTGAAATTACAGGTACATAGGACTTGTCAACTCATGTCTCAGGATGTCGGGCGCAGTGGCAGTGCCCCTCAGAACTTTGGGATTTAAAGCTCAATCTGTTAGGGACTGCCGGTTCGCTTACCACCAGGCTTGTTCGTCCCGTCATACGTATTATAAAAAAAAGCGGAGACTTACGTCCAGCAGTGAATGCGTGTAAACTAATGATGATGATGCCCTTCCTTAACAAACGGTAACTAAAAGGGATAAATTATTAGATAGTATTGTTTGTTTTGTTAAAACATTAGTATCTTAAATGTGTAATACTTTATCTATCTAGGAAACAGCTTTGGGATCAGTCCATCTAATTGGGAGGTACGAAGCCACATACGGACATACATATACATATACAGGCAAAGAATTCCATTATATGATTTCACTCTTTTTGCGTCAAGGCTTTAAAAGACGAAATATATGTAGTAGTCAGTAGCAGTAGAGCTCCTTGTGAAAGGTTTCGTCCAGGGAAGTACTGACACCTTACCTATTTCTCCAAGCAGTAATGTCAGCATTACTGTGTTCCGGTTTTAAAGGGTAAGGTTGAAATTATAGGCACATGGGACTAGTCAACTGATATCTCAGGGTGACAGTCGCAGTGGCAGTCCCCTTCAAATCTTTGCGATTTAAAGCTCTGTGTGACACTGCAACTGTTATGGACAGGCGTGTAGCTTACCATCAGGCGCACGACTTGTTCGTCCCGACACTGGATATTATAAAAAAAGATAAACAAAAATCTTTGATAAATTAACAAATTACATCATAAAAGGCGCCAAAAATAATTACAGTGTAATTTAGAATTTAAATAAAAAGATTATAATACGAATAAGTGTAAAACATGTTTAGCGCCTATTGGGCTTCATTGCACTCATTTTTTTGCAGTTGTGTAAATAATCTGGTTCAGTGTACGGCGTTCTCTAGAAACCCCTTAGAGTCTCAAGGGACTTTCTCGACCCGGCACTTCAAATGATAGGTCTTTTCATTCTCACTGTACGCTGGTATACCTTTGAACATTGGTTTTTTTATCCTACTACGGAGATTACGGAAGGGTAAAAATTTGAATATTGTTTCAAATTTTTTGAAATAAATACGGGTAAACTTATTATTCTATCATCAAGATCGTAATAACGGATAAGTGAAGGAGAATAACTGCCTAATCTGGAGGTGGACTGGCCACATCCTTTCGTTAGTCATGTCCGAAAACAGCGCCCTTTCACTAAACGAAAAGGATAAAAATGTTATATACCTAATTACCTTTGAAAGAATTGGTCCAAGGAAGTGCTGCCACTGTAACTATTTCTGCCGCTGAACAGTAATTATGAGTATGTATTACCACTTTCCGGTTTTCAACGGCAGGGGTCCTGATGAAACTACACTTGTCAACTTTATGTCAAGGTGATAACATTAGTAGTGCATTCAGATCTTTACAATTTAAAGCTTTGGTAGCACTACGGTTGTATTCATCTACATATGTATCCCATGAAATAAGGATGAAAATGTAAGGAAAATGGGAATAGTACTCAATAGACAATAAGCGAAACAAAAGAAGGCCACATTACAAGTCACATTCAAAACAGTAGAGGCAGAGGAATCAACGAAAAGCATTATAAACTGAGAGACTTTTCGCAACTCTGTTATCATGTAAGGAACCATAATGTAAATTGGGAATAAATAGCTATAATAAGAGCAAAAGTATGTTGGACAATGTTTACAGAATTCATGAGACAAATGAAAGAGGAGATATTCAGAATACTGTTAGAAGCTAGCGGCACAATACGAAAGGGAATGAGTATCTCGTAGTACTGTGGGAGCATAGCCGTGGGCTTAGCGTTGTGAGAGGTATTTTTTTTATAAAAATTATTTCATAATTAAAGATTTACTGAGAGCGTTCAGTTTAATGCATTTTCTTTCTTGCTTTTTCACTAAACGAGGATAAAAGCTATAAAATATTAAGAATAATTATAAAATAAACATTACAACCTTATATTTTCCTTCTTCTTTTCTTCGAAGATTTTTCATAAACTCGTACGCATTTCCTCTCAAATTTTAGCCTCCACCACTTGTTTTGTTCACTTCTGGAACCAAGTCGTGCCAACCACTTTAGTTGTCGCTTTACTCAATTTATTATCAGGTCTTGCAGTAGTGCCCTTCCTACCTAGTACAGCAATAAGGTAAATGCACGAATCTTTGACACTGTCCCAATGTATGACACTTCTGCATTAAAAAAAAAATAAGAATACAGTTATTGATATAACCACAAAACCGTGTTAAATGTACTAGTAATGGCATATATAAATTCCGTTTAGGAGCTTTCATCGATTCATTCAATATTTTTTTAAATGTAGCTACTGTTTTTGCGAACAGGGCGATCAGGGCGAACTCTGATGTATAGCGTCTATATTTTATTTTAGAGGCCTGTCAAACATTGGTGCAAAATTTCAATTTTTAGTAGTATGGTTGACACCCACGTCAAGCACTCGTACAAATGATTAACATTTAAGACTTAATGTCGATTATTTGGTAAGGACGCAGAAGGTAGGTTTGGATTATTATGTTATTGGTAAGTTTCTATGGGTAGTTTGAGTAGTTTGACGTGGGTGTCAAAGACTGTTTTACTATGGGGACCCAATGCTTGACAGTCGTATGTTGAGATGTCAAACACTAGGACCTAACTAGTGTGAACTATTGGTTACAGGTGAGTGCAATGAGAAAATGCCACCCCAAGGGTGTTACATTATTCGGAAGATGATGTATTGAAGGCGACTGACGAAGTGCCTAAAGGGATTCCTATCGCTGAAAGAAGAAAATCTTTTTAATGTTATTTAAAACTATATATGTTATGATCATGTGACATTTAAGTTTAAACATTTATTATTAATTTTAATAAAATCATCTCCCTCGACTCAGTTTTTTGTTCTTTTATTAATTTATTCTTATAAAGCATCGAGTATATAACTCGATGTTATAAAGTAATCAACTGCCTCTGTGGCCGAACGGTTACCATGCCGAACTGCCACCCAGTGGTCTCAGGTTCGATTCCCTGATCGGAAGAAATATTTGTATGGCCTACATTTATTTCTCTCGTGAGTTTGGGTGTAATTTGTGGTTGTCTATGTGTGTGTCCATGGCACCCGTGACACAAGGTTTCCCTAGTGGGGGGCTATGTTAAGTGTGTGCGCTATTATTGAGTGTGTGCGTAATTAATTCAGTCAAATAACTATAAAATTTTTACATAACGTCCTGTCAAATACTGGTACTCTAATCTTTCTTTGCCATACTCAACTACTGGGACATCAGAGATTTTGTCTGTCATAACTGGTACAATTTTAAACTGGTACAATTTTGGTCGGAATTTTTCGGCGGAAGATTCCACGCCAATACCACAGGCCCCGTGTGAAACCACCAACAGTCGAGCGAAGACCTGCCATCTTACCTTACGTGAGAGGTGTTACAGACAAGATCGGAAGAGTCCTCAGGCGTGCATCTATCAAGACCTTTTTCAAGCCCCTGAGGAAGATTTCTCAGTTCCTGAGACCCGTGAAATGTAACATCCCCTTACAGAATGCAGGAGTTTATAAGCTTGACTGTGAGTGCGGTCTCTCTTATATTGGACAAACAAAGCGAAGTATTTGTACCCGCGTTAAAGAACATACAGTTGATGTCAAACACCGTCTCGTAAACAAGTCTGCACTCTGCGAGCATGCCATGGATAAATCTACACATTCAATGAAGTTTACAAACCACAGGTCCTTACAAAAGAAGTCCGTTATCTACCCAGGATGCTGCGAGAGGCCATTGAAATTAAAAAACATCCTAATTTCAACAGGGAAAATGGTTTCTCCGTACCACGTAGTTTGGGATCCAGTATTTCCTCTAATGAAAAATCCCAATCAGACATAAGACTGCAGTACTAATTAATATGTTTTAGTTTATTCTAACTTCTATTAATAATTAATAGTAAATTGAACTTAATAAAAATTCATTCAATAAAATAATTTGTAAAACTTAATGTAGCGTAAATTGGAATATTTTCTTTGTAAATTTAAAAATAAGGTATTTAATTAATAACTATTGTAACTATAGTGAAAAAATAGGGTGGTTTGCATCAATATTAGACATAACTGGTTGAAGACTGTACCACCTCAGTCAAAAGTGACCATGGGACCTGTAAAAGGCCCGAAACGTCGGTTTGTTTGAAAAAACAAATATACGCGATTTAAATCCGGAAAAATAGTTTCATTTTCTATAATAATACGTAGTTTTTGCATATTTTTAATATATGTGTTATTAAAAACAATGGAATTTCTTGCAACGCTGCGGAATATGAAATAGTAAAAATGGTAAAAGTGAAATCTTTAGAAAATTGAGATAGTACCGGTTGCCAGTTCACTGTCGATATGGTACTTAGAGGATGGAAAAAAGATGTGGTCGGAAAGAGAGGGCTTTTTGTGGAAGTTGCTTGGACAGTGAATTGGTACTGTCTCGCTCTGTCTGAACTTTCCGCGTGATATTTAGAATCCGTTTTAACCTCATTCATCTCTTATACTTTAAGATTACTGTAAACAACTCCTTGCAATAATTTTTAAAGATTTAATACGAAAAATAAAGTTTTTACTTACGAATTACAACAGATTCGTAGCGTGAGTGAGTTAATTGGGAAGCACTAGTGTTTGCACAGTCGGAGACACGGTATATACAACAGAATTTGAATAAGGTACGAAGAAAATTACTGTTAAATTATACGATTTGAATAGTACATTTCACCGGCACAACAAATCACAATTAACCTTAAAATAGTGATCAGCTGATTCGATGTATTACGTAGCGTAGCGAAAAAATCCTAAATCTATGGTATTACGTCTGAGGGCGTCAACAGAATTTGATAAGTAAACAGCATTGCCAACATAACTACATTACTTACGGCTGCGTTCCATGACAATACGTTCCGATTCACGCAGAGAACATCAAGAACAACTATAATAATATCGGATAGACTGCACCATAGTCTGACGTGCAACTGTCATGCTAACACTACCTGTAAATAAGTTCCATTTCTAAAAATTCCGTATTAATTAAATAGCAAGAATGTCGCCACGACCCAAATGTTTTATTTATAAAATAATATTTAAACTAACTATTTAACTAACTATTTAAAGGAACAAAGAGTTACTTGTTCGGAATGTAAAAAAGTGCAACACATAATATGTGCAAATATAACCGAACAAACCTATAAGTTAATGAATACAACCACTAACAACGGAAAATGGAAATGTAAATTGTGCAAACAAACAATAAGTAGTACATCCAAAAACAATACCAAAAAACCTATATCACCAAAACAATTGGATGTTAAACATATTAATACAACTGATGACATATTAAATGTTGCTATAAAAAGTCAAGAAAACGACATTTCCAATAAAAATACACCAAATAAAGTTACTCAACGAAATTATTCTGTAAATGTTCCGACAAATAATTCCTTTGCATCTTTAAATTCGGATGAATTTGATTTGGATGGAAATACAATATTCGATTATACTGATAAACAGAACAGAAGCTGTCCAGGTTTTGGGACAATCACTCTTGAAAAATATGAAAAATTAGAGAAAAAGATTCAAGAGCTGTCAGTAAAGTTAAAGGACACAGACAATTACTTAGGAAAATTATTAATAGAAAATGACAATATGAAAAAAGAAATTGAAAAATATAAGACAAAAATACATTATCTAACGAATATGTATAGAACACCAAGTGGTAAACAGGAAGTAGGTTGCATAGGCAACAGGAGAGATAGCTTATTGACTAAACGTATACAGTTTCAGAAACAATGTTTAGTGAAAGAAAATAAGACGGACAACGTGAGACATGAAGATATAAAAAATAATACACAACAAAGTTTGGAGAATTTGGAATCCAATGACGTAGAAATACATAATAGCATTAGTAATTGTTCGGAAACGGCACACTCAGGACTTGAAAATAAACATGACGACTACAGAATCCAAGTATGATGATACAAATACGTTACTTCAGACAAAAACATTGAAAAAAGGTGGAAAGATACAATGAGGACACATCGATTTCTTTAAGGAAAATTATTATTATTGCAGATCAGCAAGGGAAGGGTTTACAGCCTTGTCTTCAGTCTCTATTAGGTACAAGATTTACAGTGTGTTGTTTCTGGAAAAGGGGTGCAAAGATGTTAGACGTGCTAAACAGCTACAAGACAGAAATTATGTGTTTATCCAGAGACGATTATGTTATTGTAATTGGAGGTACAAATGATACCAATCCAAGTGAATTCAAGACAGCTATGTCAACTTGGTTAAATTTTGTGGACAATACTAACGTAATATTCTGTGAGGTTCCGTTTAATAAGGACTTGAATGAATTCATGTTAAATCAAGAAATTACCAAATTATGCACACAACGACAACAATGCACATTTGTAAACCTAAATTACGCTAGGCATTACATACCGAAAAAGGACAAATTTGTGTACAATATGAGTCGTTATCTATTTCGAATGAATGAATGAATGACTATTTCGAGAAATTTTACAAATTCAAAATTACCGCAGATATCAAAATTACAACTTGACTGCTCGCGAGAAGAGTACACAAACAGAAGACATTATTATATCTCCAATTAAAGGAAAAAATTCCAAGGATTTTACAAATTTAACTTGTTCTACGGGAAACGGAGGTACGGAAATTTGCTCAAGCAGCCGAAATGTATCTCTTGACAATGATCCTGATTTATTTCGTGTATAATTATATATTAATACTTCATCAGAACATTGACGGTCTCCTCAATAAGTCGGACATTTTTTCAATAACCCTTGAAGAATTAAGAGTGACAGGGACGTTCGTTGACATTTTATGCTTTACTGAACATAATATGCTGCCCAGTGACATGAATTATTTGGTTCTTAATAACTATACATTGGCTGCTGGGTATTGTCGCACAGCTAGACATGGCGGTTCTTGTATTCTAGTAAGAAACGGATTAAAATTCCAAACGTACGGAATAATCGCAAAATATAGTATACCCAGTCTGATAGAAGGCTGTGCTGTAAACATTATGGATCATAATATGACCGTTGTATGCTTATACATGGTACCACAAAATATGGACGCTAAAAATAAAATAAACATATTCTTTGACTAAATAGAGGATATATTGATATTACTTACTAAAAACAAGCAACAGAAAATAGTTCTAGCAGGAGATTTTAATATTAATACTTTAGTCAAAAATGATATAACATATCGATTGACACGCTTACTAGCAAATTTTAATATGAAAATGGAAATACAAGAAATCACAAGACCGCGTAGTGGTACCTGCATAGACAATATTGCACGCAACATGCGCGGATGTAAAGGCAAAGTAATTGAATTTAGTGTTTCGGATCACTCTGGACAATTAGTGGAATGCCCAGTAAAAACAACGTGTACTTTGAAACATTGGTATATAAAAAAAGGGATTACAGCAAGGTATATATGGATAAGTTTATAGAGTGTGTACAACAAATAAATTGGTTATAGCTAGAAGGAATATCAAATCCAAAAATGGCATTCTCGGTATTCTTCGAACTGTTTAAGTTATTGTATTATTTATGCTTTCCGATAGTCAAAATAAAGGTATCACTTACAAAGACACCTAAGTGGATGTCACGCGGAATAAGAAGATGTAGCAAAAAGAAACGACAAATATTTTGGAAACATAGATTATCACGTTACACAGAACATAAAGAAGAACTGAAAGGATACACAAAAAGGTTGAAACGTATTGTACAGTTGACTAAAAAAGCCCAAAATAATTTTTTTATCAAAAACTCAATAAATAAAACTAAGGCAACATGGCAAATAATAAACAGTTGTAACGCTAAAATGCCTAAAATACATGGTAACAGAATATTTTGCAATGATAAATATCTAACAGATCCAACACAAATTGCCAATGCATTTAATAACTACTAGATAGACCAAGCACAAGAAGCAAATCTGAGGAATAATTCAGCTGCAAATATACACACCAAAATACCATACACAAGTAATTCCATGTTTATGAGGCCTACGACAGATAAGTACATTGAACGAATAATAAACAATTTGAAAAATACACAGAGTACAGGATATGATGAGTTAAATACAATGGTACTTAAGTATGTATCTGAATTTATATCTCCGATAATGACGTATTTAATAAATTTATCATTAAATTGGAATATTCCCCGAAGAATTAAAAATATCAGTAGTTAAACCTCTATATAAAAAGATGACAAAGAAAATATTAACAACTACAGGCCTGTTTCTCTCATTCCAGTTTTAGCTAAGATTTATGAAAACATGCTATCATACGTAGAGACAAATAAAATTTTAATCAATAATCAGAAGGGCTTTAAAAAGGGTCAATCAATTAATTTCGCTATTTACGAGTTACTGTCTACAGTGCTAAAAGCAGTAAATAAAAGTAAACCTATCATAACACTATACATGGATTTGACAAAGGCTTTTGATTACGTCAATCATAAAATCTTATTAGAAAAACTGTATAGATATGGGATCAGAGGCAATGCACACAAACTATTAGAATCATACTTGACTAAACGTAAACAAATGTCATGCATCAATAAAATATCGACTAAAATTAAAACTGACATATCTTATTTTTCAACTAATAGAACAGTGTTACATGGAGTACCCCAAGGAAGTGTACTAGGCCCTCTATTATTCCTGATGTATATCAATGACTTTCCTACAGCTACAAAATATCCCATGCTAATGTTTGCGGATGATAGTATCGTAATTTTTGACATTGAGAACCAGAATAGACTTGACCAAGAAATAAACAATGAAATAATATCTGTGATAAAATGGTTACAAGATAATAGACTACAAATTAATCTGAGTAAAACTGTGTATATGAATTTTAGACACAAAATTAATAAAGTATATACTCAACATAACATAAGCTATATGAATACAAAATTAAAGGAGGAGGAAGTTACAAAATTTTTAGGAATATATATAGACAATAATATAACATGGGAAAAACACATAGAAATCTTGTGTATGAGAATAAATAGATTTGCATACGCTTTGTGGAGACTATCTAAAGTTCGAGTTCTTAGGTTTTCGCGATTGTTACACATAGGAAATGAAACTATTTTTCCGGATTTAAATCGCGTATATTTGTTTTTTCAAACAAAACCGACGTTTCGGGCCCTTTACAGGTCCCATGGTCACGGTTGACTGAGGTGGTACAGTCTTCAACCAGTTATGTCTAATATTAATGCAAACCACCCTATTTTTTCACTATAGTTACAATAGTTATTAATTAAATACCTTATTTTTAATTTTACAAAGAAAACATTCCAATTTACGCTACATTAAGTTTTACAAATTATTTTATTGAATGAATTTTTATTAAGTTTAATTTATTATTAATTATTAATAGAAATTAGAATACACTAAAACATATTAATTAGTACTGCAGTCTTATGTCTGTTTGGGATTTTTCATTAGAGAAAATACTGGATCCCAAACTGGTGGTACGGAGAAACCATCTTCCCTGTTGAAATTAGGATGTTTTTTAATTTCAATAGCCTCTCGCAGCATCCTGGGTAGATAACAGACTTCTTTTGCAAGGACCTGGGGTTTGTCAAACTTCATTGAATGTGTAGGTTTATCCATGACATGCTTGTAGACTGCAGACTTGTTTACGCGGTGTTTGACATCAGCTATATGTTCTTTGACGCGGGTACAAATACTTCGCTTTGTTTGTCCAATGTAAGAGAGACCGCACTCACAGTCAAGCTTGTTAACTCCGGCATCCTGTAAGGGGATGTTACAT